TGGGCGCATGTTGCCGAGGCCACCGCGTCCAGATGAAGTCTGCGGCACGGACCAACGAGTCAGGTGAGACCGAGGAACGAAAACAGAGATTGCTGAGGACGTACGACGAACTCTCGTCCACGGGAGGTAGAGCGATCGGTCATGGTTCTGCGCAGAGAGATTGGTGGGTGAGGTATGTCAAAGAGCTCGGTGGAAGTGCAATGGGAGAGGGGTGAAAAAACAGGGGTGTTTGGATCAGCGCCATACTGGCGCTATATAACGGATCTTGACAAGTGAAAGTGGCAAGCAAAAGGTGATTCATGACGTATGGGCACAGTCCGATCAAAAGGCACGCCATCGGCCAACTTTTTCAGAACGAGCAAACAGGTGAAAGTAGCAGCCCAAGCGGGAGCAATGAATCATGGGGTACGGTCATTTGCCTGAACATTATGTGACTTTGCGTCAGCTGTTTTTTCCCCAAAGTTAAGCCCGAGTGCACTATAAAATGCCCACCGCAACACGGAGATCTGAAAACGAACGCTAACTTGTCCTAGATCCGAACGCTGACCCGCGTCTAGTCCATGGCCGGACAGTTGGACAGGCACCTGTCATCGTCGCATCAGCTGAAGGAGCTATCATGCTCCCCATGCGCATGCACTCACCGAGTCAACAATTTTTCCAAGCCTTTTCGGCACAGATCGGGAATTATCTATGATGACTCATCCCAAATGATCCGGGTTGAACTGGTTCCTGCCTACTCCTGCCTCTGATCGATAAACGTTCAGTGGGCGACCAAACGCTTTCTGACGGAGGTAAGCACGCTGGATCCATCAAATCCAGATTGCACAACATCAATTAAATGGATTGTCTGTACATCTATGTCATATGGACGACACTCCATTCCATTCACCGTCCCTCTCTCATGCAAATGGAATCCAATTTGACTATCTGATTCATCACCGAGCTTTCAGTCAATCCAATTTCAAGCGGCCCGAACACAGGCCAGACTTTGACAGCATCTTCGACGTCCTCCATCTGGTCAATGCAGCCTTGTTGATGCACACAGTGCATTGCTTTCCTCAGATTCAAAACCATTCAGGTTTGATTTGATGACCTGTCAGACTACACAGGAGGTCCAATATTCCATGGTGAGAACCCAGTAAACATCAATGTTCAAGCAATGTCAGGCCTGATCAATATGCTCTCTCTTGTGCCATGTCATGTCTACCACCAAATCTAGTTTGCAACATAGCCGAAATACAGAGGACAGAATTTCCAGCTAGAATCCTGGGGCAGAATCCCAGGTCAAGGGAGACATGGAATTACAGTAGAACTGCTAATAGGGAATAATTTTGGGAAGGCCCAGGCCATCCCAGATTTGTATTCCTTATCACAGATATTCCATATGAGGTGTCGAATTCAGTGGTGAAGGGCAAAACGGGGTAACCAAATTGTATTCCTTATGACCTATATTCCTTATCACAGTATTCCATATGAACAGTTCTACTGTACAAGAATTTAACTATCAACTTGCACCTTGAGAGTTTAGTAGGTGCTCTACGGCAAGGGTGTGTGCTGGATAAATATATCCAACGTTCGTCCATCCATTTCACAATAGCGTTCAGATTCGCATTTCTGCCAAAGATTACAACAAATGTCTACAGCACTATCCAATCCAATCACGAGCAAGCGGCATTGGTGCACGGGATGATGTTCTTCAGACTGGTCGTCGCGACGTTCATCTGGTACGGGCTCGCGCGGTTCTTCGCATGCAGGTTGACGGGAGCAGGGAGCTTGTCGACGGTCAACTTGGTGTCCAGCCCGGGGCGGAGGAGGACGGGGCGGCCGCTGACGCCCACGGCCGACACATTGGGCGCGGGGAAGTTCTGGAACTGGTACGGGTCTGTCCAACGCGTCAGAACAAGCCCTTCCGAGCTGCAGTGAGTTTCTTGGACGTACTCAATGGCCCGTTGAAGATTCCGGTCAGGTTGAAGTGCGGCACGTGGCTGGTTTTGGTGTTGGTGTATCCGATTTCCTGTGCGACGAAATCGAACACGTTGGCCACAGTCTTGTTCGTGTCCTGCCGGCCGAGAGACTGCAGATCCCAGTTCGCTTGGACAGTTGAGATGAGCGAGTAGTGCGTGTACAGGGTGGCATCCTTGGTGCCCTTCAGCTTCGCCGGGATCGCCGAGCCTGATGCTTATAAGCGGAAATAGCCTGGTAGAAAGAGTGAACCGACCCAAGGCGACGGTGTAGACCGTGTTCTGCTCGCTGTACGTCTCCGTCTCGTCGAAAGTGAGCAGAATCAGAGTCCGGTCGCCGTTGACCCGCGTGTCAGACAGCAAAGGAACAAGCCAGTAGTCCAGGAACTCAGCCGCAAAGTCGATCGTCGTGTCGTGCGCATCGTTGACCTAAGTTTCCGGGCCGTCAGATCTGAGGAGACGTTCCCAAAAAAGACAAAATCACCATATTCGGCGTGACGAACATCCACTGAGGGAGTGTTCCGTTCACCGCATCATTCGCAAAGTCGTTGAAGGACCGAATGCGCTTGACGCGCTCGGCATCGCCGGCGACCGCGTCGTAGATCATAGGCGGATTGTGCTTGCGCATGTAGTACGTGTACGGGCTGAGACCCTTGCCCAGGTAGTCCGGGGCCGTGTAGCTGTGTGCGCGCGCGCGATTGAGCCCCATGTGAACGAGCGCGCGAGATAAGGAGATAGGTAGACGGACCTGTAGCCGAAGAAGCCGTCCGTCGGGATGCTCTCCTGATACGCGGCCCACGAAACGCCCTTCTCCTCGAGCAGATCAATCACGGTCGTGATGTTGGACGGGATGTGCACGAAGGTGTCATCGCCGGCGCCGAAGAAGTCGCCGCCCATGGAGGCGATGTCTGGAGAGAGATCAAGGCATGAAATTTGTCGTAGCGATGGAGCACGCACAATTGGGCTGGGAGGGATGCGTCACGGAGTTGTAATCGGTGAACAGGATCCCCTCTTTCGCGAGCTTCTGGAAGGTGGGAGTCGCGGCAGCCGTCTGTCCTTCAACTCAGCCCCCAAAACAGCATGACTCAGTCCGGAATGCGACCCACAGCAAAGTCCGTGTTCTCAAGCCACACGATCATAATGCGATCGAACACCTTGCCTGCCACGGTCACTTTATCATCGAGCGTCGAGTTCGAAAACGCGGTGTAGTTGGCAGTCTGAACCAGCGGGCCGCGGGGGGACGGCGGGGCGAATGCTTGCGAGACCGCTGCCGAGGCGGACCTGATCGAGGAGGCAGCAGCGAGCAGCGAGACGAGGCTCCGCAGCGATTGCTTCATGGCTGTGATAGAAGTGAGGGGCAATTACCGCATCCACTGCAGGTCCCCGCCGAGCTTTAAATAGTTTTCAGTAAATCAGAGTCGCGTGGATGTCTTCGAAACCCGTTTGTGGCGACGCGCTCCATGTGATGGAAGGAAGCAAGGTCACATTGGACGCAACGACGGCCAAACAACAAGTTGGCAGATGAAAAAATCAATGATGGGTGTTCCGCACACGGCAAAGCAACGTTCGTAGCTTGTCTATTTTTACAGACAGAAATGCTCTTCCTTGAGACGGCGGCCTTGTCTAGGCACAAAGGTCTCTGCAATATACTGTTGCGGCTTCCGGATGTCCTCGGAGTCGGTGGGTATTTGCTGTATTCGCACCGCCAGGAAGACTTCATGACGCGGACAAGAGAAGATGTAGATGACATGATCTTATATGTCGAGTCGGACCGGCATTAGGCAGTTGAAAGTGACTACCAGCATGCACGGCCGGCCTGGAGAGTAGAACAGAAGTGGAACTCGAGCATTGTAATTTGATCTAGTAATCTCGGCGGGTCGCAATGCCAATCCATCGGGTCACCTGACAAGCCACTTGGCAGCCTAATTACTCGGGATGCATAGTCTCCTTGAAGCAGACTACTCACAAGGCCTTTCGGTAATCGAAACTTTGATCGGGCCATAGAAGTCACGAATGTGCTGAGCGTAACGTCTGCCTTGGGGAGACTAGGGACGCACTCCATTGGCCAATTCTAGTAGCACTGGTAGCAACACAGCTGGGGTTAGCTCACTCACATTTGATGGATGACAAAATGCAAGACTTGCATAACGATCATGCACTGCACGTATCTGCGGGTCAATGCACAGCGCTGAGTTGGCAGGGCGTGGGTGACACACATGCGTCCTTGATTGGCGCATGGAGCGTGCTGGGAGGAGTGAGATAGCAAGATCGGCTCGGGGTGTCACTGCGTGGACATTGGCAAGAGCTTTGTCAGTTTCCCAGAAATCCTCGACGCTCACTGAGGCTACGTATCATGATGTTCAGTCATTTGACGAGGTCGCCGATCTTTGGGAACCAGACCCGGGAGTCACGAAGTGAAAAACGGCGATCTCTGTCATCTTCCGGAGGAGCTCGGGAACGGGCTGCTGCAAGAGAAAACAGTAAAAGGACAGTGCGAGTGAGCAGCCGGGTGAGATCTCGCATCATCCAGCTAGTACGTTCACAAAGCAAGCCGGATCGAACGTACAGTGTACTATGCATCAATGGATGATGAGTGATCAATGGATGAATCACTTGTAGAGCCTCTTACAGAGCACCTATGGCCACTATATCTTAGATTTAGCATTTTGGATACTGTGCCCTCAGGCTTACCAAATTTTGGAGTGTAGGTGCGAGCACAATGTGTAGGGCATGGCGATTTGGATCAAAATAGCAGTGATCATGGCTTGATTCGGATTCCCCTTCTACCATTGTCGCCGGAAATGTCCAAATTTCGACTCTAATTCTTTTGGGGCCTCAAGAGGGACCTTTTAGTTGCATTTTGTTCCATATAAGTCAAGGGTTTGGTCTAGCCTGGAATGTGCTAGAGCTGCGGCAAGATACACGTGAACGAGCGTGACAGTGCATTTTGTTGATCTGCCCCACCATCTCCGGCAACCTTTCTAGCGCCCACTCAGCCCCATTCGGCAATACCTTATCACTCAAAACTCCGCGCGTCGCATGGTCAACCATGCAAAGTCAGAACGCGTCAAGCGGCATGTGCGCAGCCGCAATCAAGAGCACAAGATCACACAAGCTCTGGCCAAATGGCAGCAGGAACAGGAGAAACCAAGCCGCCTTGGGAGACCCAAATCTATTGAAACTATCGCCCGAGAACATGGGGTATCCTATGGTACCCTACACCGTCGTACAAAAGGAGGAAAGAGTCGCAGTGAAGCAAGCGAGAAGAAACAGAGACTAACGGCGGCTCAAGAGTGGTCCCTTGTGCAATTCATATGCGAATCAGCAGACATGGGTCTTCCACTATCTCATCGGCAGATTGAAGAATATGTAAACGGTGTCCGACAGGCTATACACGGAACAGACTGTGACTTGGTGGGAAAGCAGTGGGTCTTTGCATTCCTGGACCGCCACCACGACAACCTGCAGACACATTGGAGCAAATCTCTTGATTCCCAACGCGCCAAGAGCCTGAATCCGACGGCGGTGAAGTCATGGGTGGATTTGGTGAAGAAGCACATTGTCGACATGAGAGTGGAGCCAGATTGCATCTATGGGATGGATGAGAGCGGCTTCCCGACAGGATACACAGGCAAGGAAAGAGTGGTGGGCACGAGGGGGACAAAAACTCAGCACAAGCAGGGTGGTGCAAGTCGGCAGAACATCACCACACTGGTGACAATTCGTGGGGATGGAAAGATGGTCGTGCCGCCGATGGTGATCTTCCCAGGTGCCAATTTCCAGTCTTCATGGAACAAGGGTAACACTATCAACGCCTTGTAAGCCTAACACTATCTGCAAGGAATAGATTCTGACACACACCTTCGGAACAGTATCTCTCGTTCTCTCAGTGGCTGGACTGACCACGACCTTGGATATGAATGGCTTTCGAAGGTTTTTGAGCCCTCAACTGGGGCAAATGGGAGAACACGAGTGCTCCTGCTCGACGGTCACAGCTCACACTACAGTGAGAAGTTCCTTGCCTTTGCCCGTGAACACAAGATTGTCCTCCTTGGGTATCCACCCCACTGCACCCATCGACTCCAAGGCCTTGATGTCGTATGTTTCTCAAAGATGAAGGAGTGCTGGAAACGCGGGATTGTGGATTTTGAAGCAAGGAACAAGTGCGATGTGGCAAAGGCAGACTTCATGACGGTTTGGGCTCCAGCCTACAAGGAAGCGTTTGATGAGGAAACAGTGCGAGCAGCATTTCGAGTTACAGGAATCGTACCATTCAACCCCGACTTCGTCACTGCTGAAGACATGGCACCCAGTCAGGCATCGTCTACGCGTGGCGAGTTCCCAATGCCCCAGCCTAGCCCCGTCCGCCGTATCACCCAGGCCATGGCTTTGCACCCACCAACACGCCTGGAGCAAAGCGCAGGCTTGCTCGATCCTCCATCCCCGTGTACCCCTGCGCGTTGTCTGGGAGACGATGACAATCACAACAAAAATGGCAGCCCAACCCTGTGGACTCCATCAAAGAAGATGCGGTCCTTGTATGCGCACTTGGGAGCCTCATCGTCTGGTTCACTACTGCTGAGCACGCCCAAGATCACTTCCCGCACTAATCCCATCTCCGAGCCGGTCATTGAGTCCATGCCTAGATCGCTACTGGCACCCGATTGGTCGTTGGCTGGTCCAAGTTTGGGAGATAGCAGCTGGAAGTCAAGGGGTCAGCTCGAGGCAGAAGGAGAGGAGCTGCGGACACACCTCAAACGGGCTGAGATGCGGGAACGAATTCATGAGCAGATGCTCCAGAGCGCGCATGCCACTATGATCCTTCAAAACATGACTTTGAAGAAGACAAATCAGGCCCTACACTTGCGGGAGGAGCGTGCAACAAATGAACGGGCACGGCTTTTCAAAGGCCAAGCACAATGCCTCTCGTCTGATGACTTTTTCAACGAAGTTCAAGCATTGAACACAGAGAAGGAGAACAAGAACGCAGAGAGGGAGAAGCGGAAGGCAATGCGGAAGGATAAGAGGACTGCAAAAGCTGCGCTCGAGGAGGAGTGGGCCGGGATCAAGAAGGATCATGCAGCCAAGGTGGCAGCATGGGAGCAGAAATGCACGGATTTGAAGCAGACGGGATTCAAGAAGAAAGACCTGCCACCAAAACCCAAGTGCCCGCCCAAGCCACGGCTGCCAGAGGACGGGGATGACGACGAGGACGAGGATGACGAACAAGATCAAGCTGACGAAGCGTGACATCCACTCATGCCTAAACGTGACAAATTGACTGATGCGACGATCTCTCTTGGTATAATTTTTACAACCGCACTAACTGTACAGATAATTGGTAGACAGGGTCTTGAGTGAGTCTAGTTGGTACCTATGACCTCTATTTTAATAATTTTGCAAAGTGACGAACGAGCGAGACCGAAAATCAATCAATCCATCCATTGATGCGTAGTACACTGTAGAACAGACACGAACAAGAGAGAAAAGAGCAAGTTCCCAATCAGCGTGACGGTCACACAGCGTCGTCGTCTCCCCATCTTCCACCTCCCATCCATCCACGCTACACGAGCACCATGGATCCCGTCGTAGGCAACGAGTCTCCGCAGCCGCGCACGACCACGACCATCTTCAACTCTTTTCTCGGTCGCGGACGGCCGAGGAACCACTCCCAGTCCCACAACGCCGCCGCCGACCTAGGATTGACGCTGAACACGAACACCATCAACAACGCCGCCCGAGAACTCAGCCCGTCACCTCCCTCGCCGATCCCGACATCCGCGGTGACCCAGCGCCGCCGGGGACCACCCACAATGGGCGTCAGCGTGAGCCCCAGCACGACGCAAGCGGGCCTCCACCTAGGACACATGCTCCGTCGAAGGCGGAGCGCCAGCAACGTCCAGCCGCAGCCACCAGCCCAAGTGCAGACGCCGGGACAGGGAGGCCCTCCTGCCGTGCCGCCCGCTGCGTCGCAGGCCCAAGCACGCACGGCGCCCATCCCATCTGCCACCTTATCCTCCCCGCATCCCGCCACAGGTGCTTCGGCCGCTGCTGCCGCCGGGTCACCCTCGGGTACAGGACATCGGCTTCGTCTCGTCCCGCACATCGACTCGAGGCGCTCGCTGCGGTTCGATCCCATCACGCGGGAGCTGCGCGGGTCCGATCCCGCTTTGCGGATTGGGCGGTTCACAGATCGGTCGGGGATAGGTATCGCTGCGGTAAATGCGCTGAGCACGAACAAGATTGCGTTCAAGAGCAAAGTCGTGAGCCGTGCGCATGCTGAAGTCTGGGTCGAAGAGGGGCAGGAGAGCGGGCCAAAGTTCTTTATACGTGATACGAAGAGCAGCAGTGGCACTTTCTTGAACCATGTTAGGCTCAGCCCTGCGAACACGGACAGGTGTGTTGGGTGCTGAACGCGGACATCGATGCTCATGTACTGCAGCCGGCCACACCAGATCAAGGACGGCGACATTCTCCAACTTGGCGTCGACTATCAAGGCGGCGCTGAGGATATTTACAAGAGCGTCAAGATCCGTATCGAAGTTGGGCGCGAATGGCAAACCCAGGCCAACGCCTTCAAGTGTGTGCTATCCCGTGGCTCCCCCATGTGAACTCACATCAGCACAAAGCACTGCAGCCTTGAAGAATCTCCGCTCGTTGGGAGTGACCAGCGATACGGAGGCAAGCAGCAAAGCTGCCACGTCTGGCAAGAGCGGGCCACCCCCAGTTGCCAGCGGGATACCCGACTGCTGCATCTGTACGTCGTTCCTGGTGGCGCACACGGGTGCCTTATCTGACTGAAGCTTGATGTACAGGTCTCTTCCCTGTGCGGCTTCATCAGGCTGTTTTCCTGGCGCCGTGCTCGCACGCGTTTCATTACAAATGTATGCGCCCGATGCTGGACTCGCACCATCCCGCTTTCAAGTGAGTCGTTTGATGTAGCATCGGACTTTCCCTCATCCCGAATAGTTGCCCGCTGTGCCGTACTTTCGCTGACCTGAACGAGGAAGTGGAGATCGATAACGAGGAAGAGGTGCGTGTCTGTCAATCTCCCTGCCGACGTTCGCTCACGATCTTTTTCAGGATGAGGAATTCGAAGACCCCGGGTCTTTCCCGGCTGAAGCTGCAAAGGACACTGTTACCGAGACCTCAAACCCGCTTACTTCGCTTGCGGCCCAAGCGACGCTGCACCCGGGCATCGTGCACACCACTCTCGGACAGATTGGCGAGATGGGGGAGCTTGTCGGTGATGCGGAAGGTGTGCTGGCTGACGACCTCGAAGAAGCCGAGGAGGGGGACGAAGTCGAGGAGATGTTCACTGGGCGCTCGCGGATGATGGCGGGAGCGGGTGCGGGCGCGGAGACCGAAGTCGAGGAGGAGGGTCCTTCAGCAGGGAGGTGAGCCGCCCCCCATGCTCCGAGTTCCGGGCGTGTGGCCGTGGCAGTCGTCTGACGGTTGGACGCGTCACACGCCGGCCCCCCACCCGCCCTCGTCAGTCACTGACTCTTGTATTGGGCGTGATCAGACGGCTCTCGATGCACGTGGTGGCGGACGAGGAGGCGTCCCGGGCAGGACGTTCGGCGTCGGCGATGGACGTCGATCATGACGGGGACTCGACCGGCGAAGGCTCGGCCTCTGGGTTCGGAGAGGGCGGGGTTGTGCAGGTTGCGATGGGCATGGGCAGCAAGCGGAAGCGGTAGATATGCGTGGGGATAGAGAGCAGCAGCCGTTTGCGGGCTGCGAGAACTTGGATTCATGGGATTGTTTACTTTACGACGGCGGACATGTATCTCTGTGATGCGGGCGCCGATATTTTGCTTAATGTCGCTTTCTTTATTCTGTATCACGGTCCTCAGTGAGAGAGATGTCATGGAGCTACACGCAGCACTCTCGAGCTTACCATGTGTAGCATGCGAAACACCCGAGCATAGTCTGTAAAAAGCTGCAGGCAGAATAGACCGGTCGACGATCCACTGTCCGGCGCTCGCTGTGCGATCCGTCCCTGCATTTCATGGGCCATCCACCTATCCATCGGGCAGGTGCCTTATGTAAACGGCTCCCGGCTCACCGGGCCGGACCTGTATCCCATGGAAGTATTTTCCTGTCGAGACTCGATTGAGACCCGTGGATATGAAATTAGGCTTATTTCCGTCTATCTCTCTCCGCTGCGACCTTGATCCGTACCACGTGAAGCCTGGGCAACTTTCATCTCCGAGCGCAAGGTTCCTCAATCCGGGTTCCCGGGCGGGACGAAATGGGATTCGCTTTTCGAGTTGAGACAGAAACTGCAACGGACCCAATATTTACTCGTAGATGATCTCCCCCACGTTCTGATCACACAGTTTCCAGAATATCGATGGGAAAATCCAGAACCAGTCCCTTGTTGCACGTCGCTGAACAGCGGACTGACTGCGATCCGTGCTTCGAGAATAATCAGGTCGCGGAGCACGCCACCAACTCTCCGCCTGGTCTGATCGTGATGGGGGATACATACGGTACCGGTCGCTCGAGATACGAGGTGGGGCCGAGGTTTAACACTCGCAGCAAGTCCTGAAAAAGTGCCTAGCTTGACTATTAATGATCCCGAACTTGGCGTAAGTCAGATCTGCCGTGAGGGCTGGGGTTTGGTTGGGCATCGAGGGGAACCAGGGTACGCCTGCTGATTGCATATTACGTCCGTAAGATCGTCGAGCGTGTCGCGAAGATTTTTCTTTTGAGAACATCTTGTTTTCTAGGGTCCCGGTTCCCAGTGCGGGAATCCTAACATGCAATTTACTTGGATCGGTTTATCTCGGCCTCGTTATCAGCGTTCAAGAGATGGCCGCTTTCTCAAGGCCGCACGAGTCTATTCCTCATCATCCCCTTTATTCGATCTGGACCGTGGCTGCCATGTTGGGCTCGTACTCCGGAGATATTCGGTGTGATACTTGGTGAGATTCTGGATCTGCAGATCCCCCCTCTCTTCCAGCCCACGGCTGCGTCCATTTTCCGGAAAGTTGATCATGCGCGCACCACGATTTGATCGCGCCTGGTAAATGCATGTTTACCACTGATTGATGCATACTCTCAACAGTTGGATCCGTCTCTGCCAGTCAATACGAAATTGCTGGGCATGCAAACGCAGTAGGGTTGTATATTATTATCTGTAGTATATTAAGCATGTGTCGCTCTCCAAGGCAGCAGCAATATCAATATTAGGAGCGGCTGGTATCCACCACAAGCATCTTCAGGTGATAAACACAAGATCGCGCGCTGAAATCTTATCAGCTGTCAACAACTAAAGGCAATGTGACCTGGAGCTACCTGCAAGCGCACTCGTATCTCCCACGAGGCGCTGTTTCGTCGCCTGCTCCAGGACGCGCCACTTGAGGTCCTCCCACTCGCAATGTGCCTTCCGGAGCTGGAACGGATCTGGGATGCAGAAAAAGACGATGCGCGGGTCCATCCATCCGAGCACCTCAAGCGCGGAGACCAGCGCACCCCGGATCGTCGCTTCGGGCCTTTCGGTCAGCAGCAATGCCGTGGACATCAAGCCACGCGGAACTTCCCGCAAGGCACAGACCCGGAGTTTCCGGCAGTCGCGGAGGAGCCGCCGCACGGAAGCGGCGATGCGCCCGCTCTGCGGCTGGCCGGCGCGGAACGAGAGGTCGAGCGAGATGTGCGTCAGCGTGGGGGGCAGCGCCTCCCAGTGCCACAGGGACCAGTCCTCCCAGATGTTGGTGATGTTGAGGTGCGTCACGCGGCTGAAGACGGGGCCCTCGAATGGGTAGCGGTCGGTCGGGTGCGGGTGCGTGATCCCGTGCCAGACGGATATTCGGCGCGGCTGGATCGCCGCAAGCGCGCGGGCGACGGAGAGCGGGGGCGCGGAGATCTGGCTCTGTGACGGCAGGAACCACGTCGTGAGGTTGTCGATCCCCGTGCAGACGGAGGTGATCCTGAGCATGTGTTCCGAGGGCATGTCGAACAGGATGCACAGCGACTTGACGTAGGCCGCGAAGAACATCGGCGGCTTCGTTCGGGAGCCCTCGATCGTGCGAATGAACGCGCCGCTCGTCTGTGGTCGGGAGAGCTGGACCGTCGAGTAGAGACTGGGCTCGACCCTTTGTTATGCCCGGATAAGCACCAGGCGGGGGGGCCTAGAATCGTAACACGGACGCACCAGCGCTGGACCGCCCTTGAGACCCGGACCAAGACCAATGCGGTCGCGAAATCCTCCTCTGCGACCCACTCGAAAATCAGGCGCAGCAGCTCAAGGGGCATATGGAGGTTCTGGAGAGAGAGGGCCATGATATATATCGGGCCGACGAGAATCACTGTCAGTCATCTTCTGAAGGAAAGTACACATCTCGGAAATGCCACAGCGCAATGCTTGTCGCTGCTTGTGATATAATACGCAAAAACTCTCTCTTTTCGTCCGAGGACTTGATGGACGACAGCGCTTGTGACTGGCCCCGGCTCAGGCGATCAAGCTCGTGTCTCGGTAATGATCGATTCTCAGTCTTTGTCATTCTGCCTGGCCCTCGTCCCTTGTGCGCATAATACCACCGCAGACGATAGATATCTCTATCGTCTTATCTTCTGCTGTTCAACAGCACCTGTGTGTTTGCAATCCCATGCTGGACTTGCCCCTCCCTCAATCTATGTCCGTCCCCGTCAGTGGATCAACACTGGTGGGAATTCGGTGGCCATGTGCGGCCTCTCAAAAGGTCGCCGGAGGTGATGTTGATGGGAATCGAATGGTGCTGATGAGAGAACGCTGCTCGCAGCACCGCGCATGTCCACATCGCATGTCCCGAGCTGGGAGCTTCCAGACCGCCGCGTACCCCGCACACCTTCGACCAGCAGGCTCAACTGATGTCTCCCGGAGATGTCCGATCTGTCCTCGGGTTCCGGACACGTTTCAATATCTCCTCATCTGTTCTGCCACCCCCCATTTCCGGTTGCACGAGCCGGGACCGACACCGAAGCCGTCCATGCCTTTCCTTGGCAATCCCGGCTGGCCCCCAGCCGAGGTGTTGGCTGTCGACAAGCGCCATTATGCACGCGAAAGAGAAGCAGCGCAGCCCGCTCATGTGTTTGTTGGGTAGTTCTGTGGAGATGGCTTGGAATCAGCACAGGGTCCTGATTGCTGTGGAGTCTCGCCCGGAAGACTCGTCGTTCGATCAGTGTCCTTGGCAACCTGAGGAATGGTCCCATGTTCGCGATTTCATTTTAGATTGACACACGTGCTCGCGAAAACATTTCACGAGTCACCTGATCGTCAGTTAGGCGTCCCTGTCACTTGTGCTTCTGAACTTCTCCGCGTTCAGTGCCTTGAACGGGCTCGGTTCTCAGATGTATCCTCTCATAGTGATTCGTGAATAAAAAAAGTCATTTTAGAGCCTTGGATGGGATGAATCTCGTTGCATTGGGCTCATACACCTCGGTGCGTAGCTTTGAATTCCTCACTCACTTATAGAAGCATCCAGCGGAGATGTACGGAAAAGCGCGCCTGGATCGCCCCTCTTTTACGGCCATCCCGAATCACGGATCCACACGCGAGCATAGAAGCTGATCTTTCTCTGGTAATCCACAGTAGCTGCCCCCAAAAATCCGGATGCAGCGGAATGCCAGGCTCCAGCGGACCTTCGCGAATTCGCCGGGTTTTTGTATGTACGTGTTCTATCTGGCGTTGGCACGCATTAATCACTGCGTGGGGGAGTAACCCCGTCACCTTTATCGCGGCGGCCACCATAGAGTGATGACCCTTGGAATGTTGATACACGTGACCGTGTCTGATCTGCTAAATGAAAATTTGCGATCGCCTACGTCACAGGCTGGCACAGTGAATCTGAAAATCTGACCGCATTCCATGAGCTACTGCTCAGTGCTGCCGCCTCTGGTGCCTTCCAACACACTGTCTGAAGTCCACAAAGAGGGTTACACTCTGTCGCAGGGTATGCCGTGCGTCCTGATGCAGATGCCTGATGAGACTTTTCGTGTCCACACTGTAGCGACGACTAAAGAACCCCGTGATTTTCATGCTTATGTGCAGAGAATCTCTCGGCCGCCGGACTGCGACACACTTCATTCTCCACACTCACCGGCCGCCGCCACTCGCTCCCTTCCGCCTGTCTCCGTCTGGATCCCTGACGCTGCGGCGGCTGCGCGCGGTCTCGGGTATCCGGTAGTGCCAGGGAAGACCCATAGGACGCTGAATGTGTGACGCACATGCAGGATGTCCCTCGACCCGGAACCACGAGTGAGCCCTCACGCACGAGATGGCGGATAGAGAGAAGGTGGACGGACGGACTCTGAAGGGTGGCCCCATCCTTCTATGACGGTCAAGATCCCCGTGCGGATGCAAATATAGCTCAGCTTGCTAAGCTGCTCACGGCTCTGCGGCTCTGCGGCTCCTCTAACTTCCATCTCAGAAGCATCCGCACGCTGATGCAAGCGCGTCCTCGCGTGGCTTGGTCTCGCCATGCACACCTAGACGCGGCCAGCCCATCTCGTTCTTGCGCGTGTTACTACAGTACAAACGGCTCGATCTACCTGGGCTGCACGTGAGTATCTGCTCGCACTGCTGGTGAAGCGCTGCAGCGGCCACCCGAAGCTCAATGCCGTCACGAGACCATCCCGTGGTGCACGGGGGAAGGACCCTGCTCGCTGCAGAGATGCCGCGATGCTGCATATAGGGAGCAGAACGCGTGGGATTGTTCAAGGCGGTTCTGGGCCGCTGTCTACCAATGCACCGCTTGCAATATCCTTTTCTGGCTCAGAGGATGGGCTCAACCATCGCCTTCTTGAGGATAATGAATTCGGGGAGAAACTGGTCCCCTGCGACCTACAGTCACCACTTCGAGTGGCCGGAGGATTTGTCACAGCCTGCACGTGCCGTGGATATGTCAGCCGGGCGGCAAGATCCCCGTTTTCGACCGGCAATGACTTACGAATGCACGGGCAGCGCTTCTGCTCTGCAAAGTATACATACTTAACGAACCGCTCTCAGACTCGGCCAAGTCCACTTGCGGGCGGGATGAGAACGCCCAGCACACATGCCAAATCTCGCCCCGGACTCGCCGCTCTCCGCCGCCCACCGCCTGCCGCCCGAGCTCCTCGCGCACATCCTGCTCGAGGTCGAGCCGGGCCCACGCCCGCACGGGCTGTGCGCCGAGGAGCGCCCGCTGTGGCACCTCGCGCACGTGTGCCGCTACTGGCGCGCGTGCGCGTTCGCGACGCCCGCGCTGTGGACGCACATCCGCGTGCTGCACTGCGCGGAGATGCCGGCCATGCGCAGCGCGCCGGTGGAGCGCCTGCGGATGCAGTACCGGCTGGCGGGGACGCGTGCGCTCTCGGTCGACCTCACCGCGTGGGAGCCGCTGGAGGACATCGCGGCCGCGTGGCAGGAGGCGTTCCTGGGCGCGTGCCACCGCTGGGGGCGTCTGCGGCTCTGCATGATGCTGATGACAACCACTTGTCGAGATCCGTGCGCGTTTCTGCATGCCGTTATGGATCGGATGCATGCGCTGCAGGTGCTGGAGCTGGATGTCGAGTATCGCGAGACGCTGGCGTTGCGCGTCGCGCCGAGGCTGCACACGGTGATCGTGACCGATGTGCTCTGCTCCCAGCCGAGCCCCCGACTGCTGATTGACTGGTCGCGCGTCACATGCTACCGCGGGGTGTATCCACTTCATGAGCAAATCCAGATCCTGGCCGCTGCGCCAGCCTTGGTCGATTGTGCCCTGGGTTTCTGCGAACGCCCGTTGGATGCTGCTGCTGCCGCTGCTCCACAATTCGACCCACCGCTCGTCACCCTCGGCGTACTTCGCCGACTGCACATCGCGCGGAAGTGTCAGTTCCTGCAATATATCGTAGCGCCGAATCTCCAGGAACTCCTGATCACCGGGACGATCGATATCGCGTCGCTTGCCGCGTTCGTTCAAACCTCGGGCTGCGCCGACAGCCTCACGCGCGTCGTGCTCGACCGCACACCCAACCTGTCGCCGGTGGTTCTCTCCTCCGTCTTCCGCATCGCGCCCTCGCTCCGGTCGCTCCGCATCTGCATCCCCTGCGGGGCGACCCACCCGCGCGACCTGCTGCTCGCGGCGATCTCCGACCCGCTGTCCGCGCTCGACTCGCTCGCGTTCGTGGGGGAGAGCTGGACGCCCGAGATGGTGGACGGCGTGCTGGGCATCGTCGAGGGCGCGAGGGCGGCTGTGCCCCGCCTGCCGCAGATTCGGCTGCACAGTCGTCGGTCGAGTGTGAGGGAGATCGGGCCGGCGAATGGGCGCTTAGGGCGGTTTACTGAGCACGTGCGCTTTGAACACCAGGAGGATTGTGGTGTTAGAATTTAGAACGGGTGTTCTTGTATTGGAAGGAAGTTATGTAGCTGCAAGAACGATGGAAGACTTTACACACTGGCTACTTCGCCGACAGAGACAGCTTTTGCCTGCTTGGGTCATGTATCACCTATAAACTGCTCACTGCTATGGGTCACGCGCCCTGAGAGTGTGTTCTTCGGCCGCTGCCATTCATTCATTGATATTGACTGGTAGGGCCTTGTTTGCACGCAGTGACTTAGATCGGGTCAGATCCTATTCTGTTTCTCTTCCCAATCGATATTGAGGGATGGAACAAATGGTCTTCAGATAAGTTGCTCTGAGGAAACCTGGTCATAGGGTCACAACCTAGTAATGTGCATGCGACAGTGGGTGCCTGGCGCGAGACGGAACGGAAGAAGACGCATACTCGGCTTGATCATGATATTCGGCCACGTGCCAGCCACACGTGCCCGTGTGATGGCCATTACGTCACGTGTGTGTTAGTGCATGCCGAGGATATTCCGCGACGTGGGACACATTCGCCGATGGCACGCTCGAACGCCTCCCTTGACGTGGTTCCTGGGAAGGGTCCTTGAAGTGAGCCCCTGGCTGGGCTGCGAAAACGTTGGGCCCCTTTTGCGCGTATTCGAGATCTGGTGGACGACAAAACTCGTGACTGAAACAGTGAGAATACGCGTTCTGAACCCGTTAGATGATATCCTGGCAGTCTCGGTCCATGTATGGCACACTTTCCTTGGGCATGGCAACGAGCCGATGTAGTCTCAGCTCGCTCTGGAGACTCCATCAAGTTCAATCGGACGAGCTAGGCTACAATGAAGAGCTCCACGAAGACATGCGGTGCTATTCTGTGCTGCGCAGAGCTCGTTCAACTCGTTTCGAGAATGATACGCCGCCCTGGGTTGGATCTCTCGACCAAAGCATTACCATCTCCACTTCAGAAAGCAGCCTGCAACAGTTCCGACGATGATATGCCGTCTGCGTTATGTTTTTCTTCCACGTGTTCGAGAAAAGTGACCGTGGCATTGAGAGGTCAGCCGGACGATCATAGTTGGCGGCCAGAGGATACACACGGCTCTTCCAAATCAGCCGCCTCACCTTTTTCTCGCGCCACGAGAAAGATTCATTCAAGCCAGCCGGGACTGACGACAATCAGCGACAAACAACACAGCGTGCTGAACTGCCGATGGGTTCCCGGCATACTTGTTCATCACCCGTTGCACATACTTGATTGATCACTTGGGCGAAAACGGTGAATGGCTAGCAGCCCTTGGATTCTTTAGATAAGTACTGACCGGCGGAGCGTCTCAGAGTGCCGCACAAGATTCTGAATTTTCTGTGAGCATTTCGGAGGCGCTCTGATATATACCCCACGACAAAGGACGGTCCCCGTCGTAGTTGGAATGTCTCGTCACCAGTTGATGGCTCATGATGGGTAGGTAAGATCTGACGAGGCTGTCCGAAATTAGCGATGCCCTCCCTGGACACGCGGGGGAGAGTGTTTCACAAATTCACACACAGTAGAACCATCTGCTGTGCGAGATCCGTTCAATCAAGAAAATGCAGACATTGATCGCTCGAGCGCCGTCTGCAGCAATAGAAACGGCCAGTCACCGCCGACAAAGCACCGGCTGCTGTCGGGAGCATAATACTCACCGATCATCAGTACAGGCTGCAGCGTCGAGCTTGACTGCTGCTAGAGCACAAAATACGAATCCAAAGCAACAGATTCCAGGAGATGGTCGAAATCACACCGAGGTGCCAGTCCCCGTGCCTACCTGCAAAGCAGCCCTAAAGGAAGAGCGCGGGAATCGGTCGGACCTTCAGAATTTGTTCAGAATGGACTAACGCCTCGACAAATGTAGTGGACCTGACGTCAGGACATTTACGGCGCGGCCCGAAGAACCCAGCTCGCCCCCCGCAGTAGTCCCAGAATACACACCGTCCCCACCCTCGTCCATGTCGAACAAACAATCTGATTCGTACGGGACAGATGCGGTGGGGACGTGGTCCTGCTTGATAAGAAGCGAGCGGGATTCTTCGGCACTTTGAGCCGGGGGATGCGATCGCCTGCCATCGTAGCAGTCTGGGCTCGAGTGCGCTTTGGCGGGACGCCCGAGGCTGTGGGGAAATGCGACGGGTCCAAGCAAAGGTAGCTGGTTGTTGTAGTTACCGCTCGCCGCGGCCTGTGGGGACTGCTGTTCCTGTGCTCTCACGAGCTGAACTTCATCGCTGACACACCTCTTTAAGAGCTATTTCGCCGAACTCTGCGAACGGCCGGTCGCAGACAGAAGGGAGAAACCTGAAAGCCGACCACACGGCGCGCAAGGCGCCTGCTTATCGCATATGAGCTTGAGCCTCAAGAGACTATGAGCATACATTCTCCACAGTTCCACTTGGCGGAAACCAGTCAGCGAAGGGGAACCTAGACAAACACGGGGAACACAATCGAGTGTGTGTCTTTCGGGGATCCGATCCTCAAGCTTCGGGGTGTGTTGGATCTGGAACCCCTCACGGCGTCTGTCCGGCGCGCGAGCAGACGGGACCCAACAGAGAAGAGAGCTCGCGGGGTTTTCACGAGCGGCTGGAGTTGTCGGAGAATTGCACCCGTGCGGGGTTCAGGCACAGGGCCCGGTTGTCCGTTGGAATAAGCATAGCGCAGCCCTCTGATCGCCGTTGGCCAAGCGGTCTCGAGCCCAACAGCACAGCGCAGCAACCCCAACATAGGCACGCCGGCGCCCCGGACCGGCGCCCGGAGGAGACTCGCATGAATGTTCCAAGCCCGACAGTTCTGCCAGAGGTTCGCTCTGCAGCCGGGTGTGAGCGGCATGTGTCTGAGAATCATTCGAGCAGTCACAATGACTTGTAGACATCGTCCCTGATCCGGTGCGATGTTTCATTCATTCATGTATCAGCCAGAACAGCCCAAAGCAAATCGGCGCGGTAACCTTCGTCTGCTGTGCCTCGGCCAACGAACCACTCGGTTAGAGAGAGAAAAAACAAAGTGGTATGATGTGTCATTGCATTTTGTTTTGTCGGCCCCGCCATGGGCCATGTCAACAGTGAGGTCTTGGCCCAGAAATATATGAATACTCGTCGTTAAATGGCCTGATCTGATCTCAACGAGACTCGAACCACGTGTCGGCCCGGCTTACTCATGGTGATTTGTGGGTGACCGCGGAATCTGATCACAGCGATCAGCCGAGGGTCAAAAACACACGCAGTGACGCCAACCAGCCCCACGTTCCCCCTCCCTCCCTCCCTCCCCCATCCTTCCTGCCCTGAGTATACCCATGCCCGGCAGCAACGACGGCGCGACGCTGGTGGAAGCAGAGAAGCCGCACCTCGCGGCCGAGCCTCCGATGCCGAAACACGAGCTTGACGAGCCCTCGAGTCCGGAGAACGAGATCGCGGCGGCGGCAGAGCATCCCGAGGGCCTGAAGCTCGCGCTCATCACGCTCGCGCTGTGCCTAGCGATCTTCCTCGTCGCCCTGGTGCGTCCGCCCGATCCGCGCCCGCGCCCGCGCCCTGCATCTCACTCTGCCGCAGGACAACACTATCATCGCGACGGCCATTCCCAAGATCACGGACGACTTCAATTCATTGGCCGATGTCGGTTGGGTGTGTGGTCTCCGCTTTTTCGAGGTCCCCACCGTGCTTATGCTCGTCGCGCGCAGTACGGTTCCGCGTGAGTGCTCAGCTCGCACGGCGCCCGCGGCCGCCCTGCTTGGGGATCGCGACGTGACGTGCGCTGATGGATAGCTGACTTCCACGCGCTCGGTAGATACCTCTTGACGACGGCCGCGACGCAGCTGCTGTTTGGCAAGTTCTACACGTTCCTTCCCATCAAATGGGTGCGCGCGCGCCTGCTCTGTGCTCCTCTTTGCCGCGCGCTCACGTCTAGGGCCAGGTCTTCGTCGCCGCGATCGTCGTGTTCGAGGTGGGGAGCGCGATCTGCGGCGGCGCGCCCAACTCGACGGCGTTGATCATCGGCCGTGCGATCGCGGGTCTGGGGTCGGCGGGCATCTTCAGCGGGGGCATGATTATCATCGGTGTGTGTGGGCTTACGAAACGCCGTCCGTCTGCTCACGTTCGCGGTGATGCATCACGCAGCGCACTCCGTGCCGCTCGAGAAACGGCCGATGTACTCGGGACTGATTGGGGGCATGTACGGGATTGCGAGCGTTGCGGGGCCCCTCATGGGCGGCGTGTTTACGGACAAGGTTTCTTGGCGATGGTGCGTGGCCGGCCCTGCGTCGTCGTCCGTTCTTTCTCTTCACGGGCGAGCTTATCACGTCACACCCGCAGGTGCTTCTACGTGAGGATATGCGTGCCACCGTCCCGGTCTGTCGTGTCCTGACAGCCTGTGTATCCAGATTAACTTGCCCATCGGCGGCGTCTGCCTGCTCTTCCTCCTCGTCTTCCTGCACATCCCCCGAAAACCCGACCCCGCCCACGCCCAGCTGTCGCTGCTGCAGAAGATCAACCACTTTGATCCCTTCGGGACCCTGCTGTTCATGCCTGCGATCGTGTGTCTGCTGCTCGCGCTGCAGTGGGGAGGGTCGAAGTATCCGTGGGGCAACGGACGCATCATCGCGCTGTTTGTCCTGTTTGGGCTGCTGATCATCACGTTTATCTTCATCCAAATCCGGAAGCAGGAGATGGCGACGGTCCCGCCGCGGATCATCAAAATGCGCAGTATCGGGTTCAGCTCGTTCTTCGCGTTCTCGCTCAATTCGTCGTTCTTCATCATCCAGTTTTACCTCCCGTGAGTTGCGTCAGATCCGTTTTCGGCGCGTCATGTGATTTTTCAACTCCTCCACAGCATCTGGTTCCAAGCCATCAAGGGTGTTTCCCCTGTCAAATCCGGCATAGACAACATCCCGCTCGTGCTTTCCCTGATTCTCGCATCGATCGTCGTCGGTGGGCTCGTGTCCAAGATCGGGTACTACACGCCATTCATGCTCGCGGCGTCGGTCGTGACCGCCATCGCCGCCGGCCTGATCTCGACGTTCACGACCACGACCGGGCACGCGGAGTGGATCGGGTACCAGGTCCTGTTCGGCTTCGGGCAGGGCTTCGGCGCGCAGCAGCCGCTGATCGCCGCGCAGACGGTGCTCGATCTGAAGGACGTGCCGATCGGGACGAGCATCATCCTGTTCCTGCAGACGATCGGCGGCGCGCTGTTCGTGTCCGTCGGGCAGAACATCTTCACGAACACGCTCATCAAGAACATCGCGCGCAACGTCCCCGCGATCGACCCCGCGAGCGTCCTCGCCGCGGGCGCGACGAACCTCAAGGGCGTGGTCCCCGCGGAGTCGCTCGGCGCGGTGCTCGTGCAGTACAACGGCGCGATTATGACGACGTTCCGCGTTTCGATTGCGATGAGCTCGCTGTCGCTCATCGGGGCGCTTGGCACGGAGTGGAGGAGCGTCAAGGGGAAGCACATAGAGATGGGCGCCGGGGCGGCATAGATCGGCTAGCTATTTACCTACTTTATATCCCTTGTTTATGTCTGGGTTGGTTTCCAGTGTCTTGACGGATTCTTGTGTGTTAGATTAACTTGTGAGGGACTGTGCGCTGCCTAGTTACAAGACCTGGCTTGGAGCAAACATAGGTTCTTCAGCTGCTGTAGACCAGCTAATGTATTCTGCTGATATAAACAGTATCTCACTGTGATCTATGAGGAGATATTTCACATTCATTCTAGAGCATTTGGGTCAACTGTCGTACACCAGCAATATTCGCAATCATCGTGCCCTCCATCGACTTTGCGTCCTGGGTCTCACACATCCTCCCACCCCTTTCCATACCATCGCTGTGAAATATCTTCAATCTTGCGAATAAACAATGGCAAAACGAATATTCTACAATCAAGACATTCCAACATGCCCAGCAATTGTCTGCCGAAACCCCGGAACTACAGTATGTCAAACAACCTTCGCACATCTGGAAAACAAAAGACGGGGAATGTATGTGTTGCGGGAGATGCGGGCGATAGTCACTCGAGTGGAATCGACAGAACGGAGCGAAGACTCGCCGGTGATACTTACAGGGGCAGAGCAATCACGTCACGTGGATGACTATCATCCCATCTTATCTGGTGAGCTACAATGATCCTTTGCCCGAAGGTCACTCCACACCCAGACGTCGTTCTACTCTGAGCAAGTCCAAAGATAGCGCATTACGCATTCATCGTGATTCTATGTACAATAACACACATTCTGCTCGATCAACACAAGAGGAACAGCGTCCAGTTATGAGCAAGCAGCGTTCGTGCACGGGATCATGCCCTTCAAGCTCGTGGACTTGACATTCATCTGCCAAGGCGTCGTCGTGTTCTTGGCTGTCAGGTTGACCGGCGCGGCCAGGTGCTCGAGCGTGAGGTGCTTGTCAACGCCCTCGCGGTACAGCACGCCGCGGCCCGTGGGCGACCGCGCATCCGGGTTGGGGGCAGCGAAGTTCTGGTACATCGACGGGTCTGCGGGCCCGCGCAGTCAGTATCCGAGTCGGCCAGCAGCGAGACAGAAAACACGCACTGAGAGGCCCGGGGTAGTGGCCGGTCAGGTTGAGCAGGGGGATCTGCGCAGGGGAGATCGCCTTGTTCTTGTGGCCGACCTTTTTGGCGACAAAGTCAAACACGCTGGCAACGGTCTCGTTGGCGTCCTGGCGCCCGAGCGTCTTCAGGTTCCAGTTGGCCTGCACGGTCGAGATCGTCGAGTAGTGCGTGTAGAACGTGTCATCCGTCGTGCCGCGGAGCTCCAGCGGGATGGCGGTACCTGGCGGATCCCTGTCAGCAAGCACCGCTGAAAGAAACATCCAGCACGCACCGAGGGCGACGGTGTAGATCGTGTTCTGCTCGCCGTACGTCTCGTTCTCGTCGAACGTGAGCAGGATAAGCGTCTTCTCGCCATTCACGCGCGGGTCCGTCAGCAGCGGCATCAGCCAGTACTCGAGGAACGCGGCGCCAAAGTCGATCGACGTGTCGTGCGCGTCGTTCACCATGTTCGGCGTCACGAAGATCCACTGCGAGAGCGTGCCGTTCACGACGTCGTTGGCAAAGTCGTTGAAGTTGCGGATGCGGCTCACGCGCTCGGGCTCGCCCGCAATCGCGTCGAAGATGATCGGCGGGTTGTGCTTGCGTACGTAGTAGTTGTACGGCGCGAGGCCCGGGGAGATGTAGTTCTTCGACGCGTGGCTGTGAGATATCCGTTAGGACGAGCCAGCAGAGCGCGATGGGAGGACGCACAGGAAACCGAAGTAGCCCACCTCGGGCATGTTCTCTTGGTAGGCCGACCACGACACGTCCTCGTCCTCGAGCAGATCGACGACGGTCGTGATGTTCGACGGGATGTGATACATGTTGTCGTCGTGCAGACCAAAGTGGTCACCGCCCATCGCCGCAATATCTGCCGCACGATAAGCACGACGCACCACGACATAGTGAGAGCGTGACTCACAGTTGGGCTCGGAAGGGTGGGTGACACCGTTGAAGTTGGTGAGCAGGATACCCTGAGCGGCAAGGCTCTGGAAGGCCGCAGTCGACGCAGCACTCTATTGTTACATGCAAATCAGCGAGCGAGCGGGAGCACCCCACTACGTCGAGCACGCACCGAGAAGTCGGTGTTCTCCATCCAGACCTGGATGATGCGATCGAACACCTTGCCCTTCTTGATGTGGTGGTTGTTGGGCTTCAGTGTGCTGTTCGAGAAGCCCGTGTAGTTCCCGGACTGCGCGATCGGGTTCGTCGACGGCGGGGCGAAGATCTGCGCAGAGGCGGCGGTCGCGACCTGCACGGACGAGACCGCGAAAAGGGCAGCAGCGAGGACACGGAAGGCGGACATGGGGTCGAACTCGACAGCGGCGCGGGAATGGAATCAAGGAGCCACAGAACATTGGAAGCATGCGAGGTCCATTTTAAAAGAACAGGCGGACAGTTTGGGGGATGTGTGATGGGAGTGGATGAACGTGCGCAGGAGCCACGGGTGGAGATCCATGTGCGCCCAGCGCTCCGGGCGAAAGGGGATGAGGCGGCATGTGGGAGACTGCTGAAATGGGAAGGCAGACCAGCCGAGCCATCCATCAGTGGTCCCTAGCCAATCAGCGTCCTCGCATTGTGCAGTCCCTGGAGGCACGTGCATCCAAATATAGCTCCCCGGTTATTACATCATCCACGCACAGATTCGTTAGCGCTGCGACCAGCTCCTGCAGATCAGCGGCGTCGGCCCGTCAAGCACGAGCCCAGAGGACCCTACCCTTCTGTCCAGCCAATATCATGTCTGGACGCCGGCACGTCTCGTGGGCCACCGACCCGGAAGTGGAGGAGCATGCGCTGCTGTTGCGCGCCGACGAAACGGCGGACGCGGAGTCGGAGCGTCCACGTCCTGCAGCACCACCATCACCACGTATATCTAGGCGACAGCGCGCCTATGCATACGGCGCTCTCTTCCTCGTCACGATCCCTCTGTTCCTCCTCTTCGTCATCGCGCTTCTCCGCCATCCGGACGAACGTGCGACCTCCGCGGGATCGGCTTCGGCAGCAGCAGCAGCAGTGCTGGAGCACCCGGACACATTCAAGCTCGACGCGGCATTTGACCGGACGGCGCCCCCAACGACACGCGTGTACAGATGGACGGTATCCGAAGTGATGATGTACGAGCCTGGTTTCGGCTCGAACCGCACGCGCGTCGTGGTGAACGGCCATTCGCCCGGGCCTCTCATCCAGGCGAACCAGCACGATCGGGTGGTGGTTTATGTGACGAATGGGCTGAAGGGAGAGGGCACGTAGGTACCTTCGCTGTGTTTCCGTTCTGACCTTACTCCTGGTGTAGTTCTATCCATTGGCACGGGCTCCCTCAGCCAGGTACTCCGTTTTACGATGGAACCCCCGGTGTGACGCAGTGTCCGATCCCTCCTGGACAGACACTGGTGTACAACTTTACTCTGGGAGACTTCAATGGAACGACGTGGTGGCAGTGAGTGTGGGGTGTTCTTCGTACCGACACTGTCGTTCACGTCCGACTGCAGCGGCCACTCGGGTGTCCAACACACGTGAATCGTCTTCCCAGTGACTTGACTCTACCGCTCACATGATGCAGAGAGGGCCTGGTCGGGCCCATCGTAGTCCACTCGCCCACTGAATACGGCTCGGATGCAAGATCGAAGATCTCCGACCATATCATCACCATTACTGACAACTACGCGGACTCGGCTAAGCCGATGCTCGTGGATTATCTGGCTGTGTGTGCTTTCCTGTCGTATGCGGCACGTTCGTCTAACAACGTAGCCGCACAGTCGACCCCGATTGAAACGACCGACGAGCCTGTTCCGGACTTCGCCCAGATCAACGGCGCGGGTGCCGGTGGACACGAAGATGATCGTGGAGTGTACGACGAGGTGTCTGTGCCCAAGGGCTGGTGCGTGCCTGGTCCAGAGCATCCTGGTCCCCTCGCAGACAGATGATGGCGCGCTCCACAGGACACCCACCCTCCGCCTCGTCCACGCTGGATCGTTTGCGCCGATGCGCATCTCCGTCGATGGCCACGCACTGACCATCGTCGAGACTGATGGCACACCTAACGAGCACGTGCAGGTGCGCGACCTGCTGATCTGGCCTGCCCAGCGTTATCGCGTGCGCCTGGATCCTGTGGGTGCCGCTGCCTCTCAAGCTGTCTGGGTCAGGGCGCACATGGAGGACAGCGCGTTCTCCTACGACAAGTTCGCAGGATTCCCTTCTTCTCTTCTCACTTTTCATTCTGAACGACTGCAGCTTGCGCCAGCAGCCCGAAGCGCGCGCGATCCTGCGCTTGTCTTCTTCCTCCTCCTCCAGCACATCTCGGCCGACGTCGCATCCCGGACCGCTCGATGAAGACAAGGCCCTTAGCGACTGGTGGGCCCGGCTGCCCCACTTCGACGAATGGACGCTCCGCCCCGGCGCGGGCATGCAAGCCCTGCCGACGTCCCGCGACACGCTCACGGTCCCGTTCAAGTTCTCGATCCAGCGCACGAGCGCGCGCAACTGGCGCTCGTTCATGAACAACACAAGCTGGGAGATCCCGCCCGCGCGCGACGCGATGCTCGTCGCGGATCTGGCTGGGATCTATCGCGGCGACCCGCTGCGCGTGAAGAGCTACCCCGTGTGCGTGTTATGGTTTACGGCCGCTTGAGCGGGCGTTGCTCATGCTCACTCGGTGGGGGCAGAGATCAGCTCGTGGCTGCCATTCCTCGGGACCACGTCGTCGACTTTGTGATTACGAACCTTGATGACGGAGGTGGGTTGCTTGTTCCTTGTTGTCGCTCTCAACTCAGACTGCCGTGGACAGACCATCCGTTCCACTTGTGCGCTGTTCCCTCAGTTGACCGGGGTCTCATGTTTGGCTAATCAGCCGCGATGGGTGCAGGCATGGCTACGCTGTGAGTATCCAAGCTCTGCGCGTCACCCGTCGCTCACTCGCTACTCTTAGCCTTGGCTTCTGGGACACGGGAAAGGGCGCTTCAGATCGTACGTGAACCACCTCGACACCACGAATCCGATTCGGTACGCCTGCAGTCCTTTTCCGGTGTCATGCGCTGAGAGAAGCCCCAGTCGAGATACCTTCACCGTTCCTGCACGCAGCTGGGCTGTCGTTCGTATTCTGACAGACAATGCCGGATACTGGGCCTGTGCGTCGCTCCCTCTCTCCCTCACGATGTAGCGCTTGCTCACGTCCTTCCAGTCCATTGCCACATATCATGTGCGCTCCCGTTCTCGTCCGTGGTCCGACTTTCTCACTGTCTTTCAGGGCACATGGCCGGGGGCGGGATATTCCAGCTTGCTGTGCCCCCGGCGGCTAACGAGACGTTGACGCTCCCGGAGGACATTGTGCGGCATTGTCGCATGTGGGACAAGTAGTGGCGCGCCTCGTACTTGTGACCGTATTTCGTCAGGACATACCCAGTTAGCGGCGAGCTGTCTCGGGAAAGTGCATAACCATGAGGTATCCCCATTGTTGGCTCGAATCAATCCAAAGAGAGCAGCTGGCAGTAGATATCCCTACTGCACCCATATATCCAGCCTAAAAGATTACATTCCTGGCTCATCACACTACATCACAACATTGCCTTCAGAACGCGAGCGGCGCGAAACCCATGCGCTGGGCGCCCACATCCCACACACTATAGTAGTGCTTCAACAGGCTCCCGCCGACGAGATCGAGCCCGTCGAACGCATTGATGAGCGTCTGGCACGTGCTGGGGCTGCTCGCGAACGGGCCGACGCTGAGCTCGCTGCTGGGGATCGTGAGGTTGAACGCCTTGCCGGACTGGGAGGTGAACCCGATGTCGATCTTGGCGGGCAGCGTCGGGATGAGGGAGCAGGCGATGCCGTAGGTGCCGGGCTCGGCGGCGAAGGGCTTGATGTTCGGGGAGATGAGCGCGTAGATCGCCTGAAGAGGGGGTGGGGGGGAGTTCAGTCAGCGCTTTGCTTGCTGTGGGAGTCCAGAGACGCACGTTCGCGGTCTGGGTGTCGAACAGCACGTTCGACGTCCCCGAGTCGAAGATGATGTTGCGCGCGCGGGAGAGGACCGACGTGGTCTTGCCGTTGACGGCGATGCGGGGAGAGTCGAGCGACCAGGTCGGGTCCGAGTTCGGGTTCGGCAGCGACGCGAAGGTCAGCGATCCTGATGTTTAGAGTGTGTCGATCAGACACGCATCCCGAGGAACTGACCAGGGAAGAGGTGCGTACCGGTGAATTTGGTGGAATCGACTCCGCCGATGGTCAGCTCAGCGCCGCCGATCGCGCGGGGCGTGAGGTACAAACTGAAGAGGGCTGCAAACCGTCAGTCAGACCCTGAATCAACGTGAATGAGGGTTGGGGCGACGGACATGGGAGGCCCTGGTTGATGAGAGACGCGAAGAATCCCTGCGCCAGCGCGCTCATTCCTGTTCCAGCTTCGTGTGAGCGGCAGAGCTCAGGCTGAGACGCACGCAGCTTACCCTGGATGCCGCTGAACGGGTCGATGTTGAACTTGGGGGTCTGGCCCGTGATCAAGAACAGGTCGACGCCCTTGGAGGTCAGGCCCCCGACGGTCACCGTGTCACTTGCCTCCCGCAGCGTCAGTCTGTTGAGCAAGTCCATCAGTAAAAGCCATCCGCGTCTCGCAGGCACACAGACACACACACCTGTAGTTGGACCCAATAACCGGATCGACGCCGACGCCCGTCGCAAAGGTGATCGACGACGTCCTCCCGCGATCGACGAACGTGGTCGACTTGCTCGAGTCGAACTTGACCTGGTTCGAACACTGCGTGCCGCACAGCGTCGACGCGAACTCGAGCGTGCTGCTGCCCGTGTCGAACACGACCGACACCGTCTGCGGCGGCGTGCCCACGGAGATGTTGCCGAACCACTGCAGGTCCGTGCCGAGGAAGAAGTCCGCGAGCGGCACCGTCGCGGGGTTCAGCGCGCGGCGCCGCAGGGTCGCGTCTTTCGGGGCGACGCGCGATTGGAGCTGGATCGTGTGCGGCGTCGGCGTTGTTGTTGTGGAGGCGAGCGCCGTCGTGGCAGCGGCCAGCAGGAAGAGGGAGAGTACTGGGGACAGCATCGTCGTCGTCGCTGAGTCCTGGGAGATTCCCGGGCCCCAATTTATAGCATCAGAGCGGTTCTCTCATGCACACATGGTCCGGAGGGGGGAGCACGCTGGGTCGCGGGGAGAAGCATGCGCGGCGTGTGTCCCATCGCGTCTGTGATCTGCGCGGCGCGTGACAACAGGCGTTGATCGATCCGTATGCGGTGCGACGCTCCCAGGATTTGCGCGCGGTTCTTCGATTGTCAGCACTTCACAACATGCGAGCCGGGAACTTGGCTGCACGACCGATCGAATGCACGACTACCTGGCAGCTCAGCCCCGGCGTTGAGACAACACAGACACAATCGATGCTATCGCCCACATGAAACCAAAGGAATGGAAGTTTTTCCCAGGGGAAGAAGGAGCGGTGCGCGTGCAGAGCAACATGATTCCCAAATATGTGTGCTGGGATGCGTCACTTGATGCCGGGTCATGCGTCGCCGATACATAATTATCGATAAGATGATGATTGACTCGGTCATCGTGATGGCATATAACCTTTCCCACACATACGCTTATTTCGAATCGATGCCCGTGGACGAAACTGTGACACCTTGTTCGAGAGACGACCCGATCTGCCCTACCTCCCTCGCTCGGCACTCAATGATCCGAGTTTTATAATTGTCTACGATCGAATGCGGTCAAGAAATATATCGCATCGGTGCGATTGCGACCCGGGAGAAGGACGTTGATATAATTTTGGCGCGAATTACAAATATCAACCGTCTGTCCTGCTGATCACGTTTCAGTCATCACATGTCGTGACTGAGAGAAGCAGATCTGGCCCCGGCTACACTACAAGGTCAGTTCACCTCAAGAGGCTGATTGCACTATATCGGACCGAGGTCTGCCTCAATCCGGATAAATCTGGAACTTGTGTAGTATTTTGTTCAAAGTTCCGTCCGGCTTTGTCCTCTGTCTGAGGTGCATTCCACAAGATCTGACTTATCACAGTGAGTGAATGAGCTGATTTTGACACCCCTGTGGAACTCAGTGACGAAAGCAACTGCGAGAATATTCGCTGTGTGTGCCCGGGATTTGCACTAGTTCAGCGTGGGTTTCATGTTTTCGGCCTGATTTGGGCTATTTTCAGATCGAGACATGACCATTTTAGGGCCTTGATTAACGCCATTCCAGACTAAGTCGATGAGGCCGTCAATTCTCGTCTCAAACTCACCTCCACTTCGCATGTCAATGATCTGTCAAATTTCTTGCCGAGATCACATCCAGCTTCAGCTCACTCTTGGTCTATCGAGAAGCAGTTCATAAGTCGCTGGGAAATGAGAAAAACAGAAAAATGGGTTTTACTTGAAGCTTCACTCTGATTTCTCTTACAAAGTATGTAGTCCGAGCTGACAACTACCGGGGTTTCTTGCCGAGTGATCGTCAATTGATGCATTGATCGCAAAGTTAGAGCCGAGTTGGAAGCGAGAATTGGGCGGAACTGATGGGCAGTAGCCGGGAGGCCTAGAAGACAGTTGCATTTCTTATGGAGTCCGAGCCTTCGGGGCCTCGTCGCTTCAAGAGCAATTCCCAATACATACATGCGGGATGCAATCCGTCCGGCGGTGGCACTACCTTGATACATACCGCCGCCGTGGAGCCCTCGACCGCTCATGTGTCTGGTCTAATCTAGACTACTCCGCTTCGCATACGGTATGTAAGGCAGACTCCTAGCACAGTTTCCCAGCAACCACCCAAGATGCCCTCCTCGAACCCGCTCCTCTCACTGAGTGTCCTCCTCCTGCTATGCACGCGCGCCGCGTGGGGTCTGACGGGCCTCATCGTCCCGCTCTACGTCTACCCCACCAACAACAAGGCCTGCGACCAATGGGCCTCGATCATCTCCGCCCTCTCCGCGGCCCCGCACACCGTCCCCACCATCTTCGTCATCAACCCGCAGAGCGGGCCCGGGCCCGCGGGGAGCCAGCCGACCACCGACTACCAGCAGTGCATCCCGCGGCTGCGCGCGAGCGCCGGGGGCAGCGCGACGCTCGTCGGGTATGTGCCGACGGGCTTCGGACAGCGGGACAGCGGTGCTATCAATGCAGACGTGGACACGTGAGTCGCGGTGTGCTTATGTGCTTTCCCAAGTGTGTGTGCGGTGCGCTGACCACGCGGGTGCACTGCGCAGGTACAAGGGATGGGCCAGCGCGTATGCGATGCAAGGCATCTTCTACGACGAGGCGTCGCAGGCCGCCGGGGACGAGCCCTTCTATCAATCCATCGTCACGCACGCGAAAAACGCGGGCCTCTCTTTCGTAAGCCGCGATTCTTTGCGGTGGCGTGACCTGATAGATATTTGATCGCAGACCGTGCTCAATCCAGGTGCGGTGCCGGACTCGGGGTACTTTGCATTCGCGGACGTCATCTGCACCGCGGAGGCGTTCTACAAGGGATTCTCGTGCGTGCCAGCCAACCGCTCCGATCTGATGCGCAAAAAAGTTGAACCCGAGCTGCTCAGGGTTTCGTCGCTCACCATCTCGGCTGCCGCGCCGGCCTCGAAGCAGGCTGTGATCCTGCACGACGCCCCCCGCTCGCCGTCGAACCTCAGCGCCGTCATCCAGCAGGTGTCCAGCGCCGGCGTGGGCTGGTTCTATGCAACGAATGGCCTGCAGACGGGAAACACCTACGGCAGTGTGCCGCCGTTCTTTGCGACCGAGCTCAACGATCTCGCGGCCCTGGCGTGATTGCACCTTCAGGGTTCAGGTAAAAAGATCACATTGGCTTTCTGGTCCTCAGATAGTGCTCTTGATCCTAGTCAGAACGTTTCATTAGGAAATCTATCACATTCTCCTTGCGACCATACGCAACAGATGTTCGATTCAATGCAGGCATGACACGACAAACATAGGGCAGTTCTCGAATCCCTGAAGTAACTATTTTTAGTTTATTTCGATTCTCTCATTAGGGATATTGATGGAATGAATCGACTGTCCATTTCGATCACGCAGCGTCGAAACTAGTTCTAAATCACCGCAGAGAAACTCTTTTCAAATTGCTTTTCTTGGTGCTATTGTGTGAAAACAAAAACAGAGCTGCAACCTCGAGGATAGGCAAAGACGGGCGTGGAGATGAGCTCCGGAATTTGCTCATCCTCGCCGCAAGTGAATAACTATAGTAGCAGTATTTAAAGGCAGTCATATCGGTCGTTCTACATAGCAGTTGGGACAAGCATTTCCGGTTTAGATGGCAGAGACTGAAAATCTCGAAACTCGCAGCCAAGCAATTCCAGGCTAGTAAAAAGAAAACGAGCAGAACCGCGCAATAGATAACGCCTACAGTAATCAATTGAAATCTGCTATACTGTGTCTTCTTTTTGAAAAAGATTGGCAAATCGTGGGTAGGCGGGTGGGGTGTACCTCCAGTGATGTCATGGCCATAGCTTTGCCCACTCAATGCCTCACCGAAATCTGCGACGTGCCCGAGCTCTCGAAAACCGAGGGCGGCATCGGAACAAATTATCGGAAGTCTGGCAATTTACAGGAGGACGTACTTCAGCGGGCTGCATGTCGCAAGCAACAGTCCCAAACGATCAGCGCGACAACAGGAAATACTCAGATGGGTGTGGGATCTTGTGTGTTGAGACCATCAATTCTTGGAAATTGGCGATACTTCCAGCTGAACTATCATACACTCACGTCTTGATCAGTAGCTTTGGGGACTGATTCTTGGTTGGAAAAGTCGGCGAACATTCGGACCTGAGATATCTGTGAACGAGATTCTATGCCATTAATTATATTATTACATCTACACGGTCGCAAAGCACATTACAGATTACAACTAGGGGTTTAATTCAGTTTTGTAGTTTCTCGAGGACGCCATCCGTCCAGTGTATCAGCTTCGCCACCCTCGCGTCGGATCCGCCGTATCCAGCCACAGCATGACCAGCCAAGACACCCTGTAGACCCTAGTCAGCGGACAGCGAGCGGGGAATAACAAACCCGCTCACGATAGAATCATCACCCGACTCGCTCAACACCACCTCCTTATCCAAAGCGACACTGGATATCAGATCCGCATGCTTTCCGCGCAGAAAAACGCCGCCATTCTTTCCCGGAGCAAGCAGCGCGTGGAGCTGGTACTCTCCGCAGTCCTCGAGGGAGATTTGTGTCCAGTACCGGAGAACCCGCACAAGCCCCGTGAGGGGGAGCATCAGGTATCCAAACGTGAATCCCGGCTTTCCCGGAGGCAGGACCTGGCCCGGGTACGTGTACGTGCAGCTGAGCCAAGGATTCGTTGCGTGGAAGTACTGTGAGCGGAATCAGCCTCGGACGTGAAGTGCAGCCGCGAGGGGGCAGACAACGACTCACCGCTACGAGCGCATCGTTGTACGCTCCACCGTATTGCATGCCTTTGAACGCTTCGAGACGCTGCAATGGATGGAGATAAGCGATCCGTAAATATGGCTTGTAAGTGACCGAGCACGCACCGGGAATGCGCCATCCAGCCACGTCCTCCCTGCCTTCCGCGACTCCGCGAGATCAAGGTCCGTCGTCGGGAGCGGCACTGCGTTTCCTGCGGCGAGGACGGTCATCAGGCTCGTCACCTGGTCCAGCTCGTGCGCTTTCGCAAGCAGCGGGAGCAGCTCGCGAGCGATGAGGTATCGCGCAAAGAATCTGCGGCGCAACGATCAGCAGGAGAAGCACCTCGGGAGACCGCGGACGACCACGCACTTGGACGCCAGATGCTCGCTCAGTCCCTCTTTCGTCACCGCTGCCTCCATCAGTGAATTCGACACCGGCGACGACGCGCTCAGGAACAGATAGTTGATCCTCCCGCCGCCCGGGAGCGCCTGCAGCTTTTCCTTGATCTTCTTTACGAGCGCGCGCACCTCGCTCATGAGCGTCACGTCGGCAAGGAGGAACTCGTGCGAGAACTCGGTACCGAGATTGGGCTTCGGGAACGCGTCGAGGACCGCGCGCGCGGAGCGCTCGCTGCGGCCGACGATGATGATGTGCGCCTTGCCCTGCGTGTGGCGCGCGAACGCCTTGGCGACTTCCGCACCGATGGCTGAGGTGCCGCCGACCACAATCAGTACGGGCGTGTAGGACGTCGGGACGAGGGCTGCGTTGGCGGATTTGGTCTCTTGGAGAGCAGGCATGGGGATTGGCGATGTGATGTGGGGAGTTCGATAAGTAGGTCGTCAGCATTGCTTCTCTGATTTATATGCATTGAATTCTGGATGGATTGTCAGCAATGAGAGCAGCCTGCCGCGCATACGCCATCGCGCTGTTGAGATGATATTGAAGTGATGTGGGTGAGGTTCCGAGTGTGTCATACTGTATGACGCATTTGCCGTTTTAGCGCTGATTAGGAGTCATGCTACCGGCGGGCGAGGCGCATCATTTCCAAGTTTCCTTCGATTGCTTACAGATGACTGTTGTTCTCAAAGTCAACCAGTAGTGAAATATTGGTCATACCACGACAGGGATCCTCGAGGAACTTGCAGTGCGCCGATGACGTCGATTTTCGCGTATTTCTTGCTCACTTGAAAGCACGTGCGACTCTCACAAAGCATTTGACCGACCGTCCATTTGTCCAACTATTGATTCGCCTTGTTCGTCCTCTCTTTGATCCCGAAATGATCCCATCCGTCTGCGTGCGGTTTGAAATCCTCCAGAACTCATATGCAATGACTATCAGAGCCCAAATCAAACGATGTTGCGCGCCGCTTCCATTCGCGGAGCCAAGAACGCGACGCGGTGTATACAGTAGCTTTGTTGCCTTTTCTAATACCGCCGGCAATCAAGCGCAAATCAGACACAAGGCGGCACACGGTTGGAGCTGGTCATTCACGGTTCTCTCAGCCAGCTGAAAATCTCCAGAGACTCTGATCGTTTGAGCGAGCTGCGAGAAGTTGACTCGTGAACAATTCCGGAGTGTCTCTAATGGACTGCTGGCCAGTATATTATGGGGCCATTGATACATACATCATGCTCTATCTCACACCGAATCAAACCCACTGATCTACTCGGCCTGCACCTCGACGGGCTCCTCCTCCGGAGCAGACTGGCTGGCATTCCCAGCCGCAGCCTCCCTCTCCTCCAGCAACCGTTCCGCCTCAAGTCTAGCCGCCGCCTCCCGCCGCTTTTTCTTCTTCAAGGCCTCGAGCTCCTTCTTCTGTCGCTCCTGCTCCTCCATCCAGGCCTGGAGGCCGTCCACTGCCGCCCGCGGATCGTGCTTCGCGTTCAGCAGGTAGCCCTGCAGCTGCGCGATGGAGAACCGCGCCGCGGGGATCTGGCCCGCGAACTCCTTCGCCCACGCCGACAGTGTTGACGCCGAAAGACGCTCGCCGGTCTTTTGGTCGAAATAGCACCCGATACGCGGCTCGAAGTCGTCCGTGGGTATGATCTCCTCGTCGTACGGGAAGAAGCGCTCGAACATCTGTTCGATCTGGGCGCTCGTCGCGAGCCCGTATTGGACGCGCACGTCCATGCGGCCCGGCCGGATCAGTGCCGGGTCGAGTTGCTCGATGTGGTTGGTCTGCGAAACAAGACGGTGTCAACACCTGCGGATGGTCGGTGGATGATAAGATACGCACTGTTGCAAATGCGAGTCGCCCTTCTTCGCTCGCGACCGAGTCCAAAACGTTGAGCAGTCCAGAAAGAGTGACTTGCGACCGCGGGGGTATCGGCTCTCGCGGCACGGGATTGCCCTTCGAGTCAAGCAAAGGGTCGTCGTCGTCGTCCTCATCACGCGAGGGGAACGCGCAATCGATATCTCTGCATAAGAGGATGAGAACTGCCTGAAAAAAAAAATCGGGAACAGTCATACTCGAGGAGCAGAATGCAACGCGAAGGGGTATCTCGAATCAGACGTCCCAACGAATAGTCGTCGATACTGTCGCAAAAATGTTAGAACCCAGAAGAACAGCCGATTTTTTCAAAACGACAGCTCACCCCGGTGAAGCCAACGAGATAAAGTAGATTTCCAACCCGAGTTCACCAGCAAGAGCGTGAATGGTTGAACTTTTACCGGTGCCGGGTTCCTGCTCCGCGTCAGCAAATGAAAACCACAGCAAGATACTGCAAATTCACCCCATAGAGCAGATACCCCCTCCGGTGTGGGACGCCGGCAAACGTATACCACTCCTCGCTCGCGAGAAACTCCTTCGCGTCTTTCAGCAACATCTCCTTGATCCCATCCGGTAAAATGAGCGTCGCGAAGCCCCTGCGATTTTTCGTGACCGCGCGCGCCCAGGAGCCGTAATTGTCCGTCAGATGGACAGTGACCCTGGAGATCGACGCCTGGGTGTAATGCTCCTTCGCAGCCTCGACAAACTGCTTGAGAACGTCGCGATCGGACGAGTGGATCATTAGGTTGATCGACCCGCCGGAGGTGCGCCCGTTGCCGTCCTCGTACCCGATGACGAACTCGCACTGGATCCAGATGCCCCGCCAGCGGAGCCGCTGCTTCGTGTTCGACGACGGGACGAAACGGACCAGGCTCTTCGGATCCTCCCGGTTCCAGCCGGCGTCGTTTTGTTTCGTCGAGACGGTGAACTCGTTTGCGTCGGCCATCACGTTCGACGACTGCAGGTAGTCGAGCACCCAGTCGAAGCTGAAATCAGCCTGGTTGAAGTGTGCGATGATGAGCGACTGCGACTGTAAGCGTCGATACGGCCTGTCAGCTGACGCAGTAACTCCACAGACGACGCCTGCCACGCACCCAGTCGTAGTCCTGCCGCGGCGGCGGCACCGGCGACGTCTTGTAGAATGCGCGCGCCTCCTGCACGAACTCGTCGAGGACCTTCCGATTCCGACTCCACACCTGGAGCGTCAGACTCGACGCGCCCTCGTTCTCGATCTTGTTGATCGTGATCCAGTGCCGGCGGCGCCAGAAGAACAGTTCCGGCTCGCTGTTGTCCGGCTCATACACGATGTCGGGGTACCCGTCGCCGGTCGCGAGCGCGAATTCGCTGTTCGCCACGACCTTGGCGTTGCGCGCGTTCACGCGGAACGTGCGGGACCGGTTCCACACCTTGTGGTGGTTGAGGTACGCCGTGACCTGGCGAGATCAAACCGCGCGTGGTCAACACGTGTCAAGGGCCGGCGCTGGACGGACGGACGCACCCATTCGTAGCTGAGCTCCCCCTGCTTGAAGGACGCTTTGACGAGGAAGACTGCGAGGACAAACGGTCAGTCACGCTGGAGGCAGGTATGCATCGCCGTCGCGCACGCACAGCTGTTGACCGTGGAAACCATCTTAGCGCCGATGACTCGACTCCTGTTAGGTTTCGGATAGCAATCAGTGAGATGGGCGGTGCAGGGTGACGTGAAGCCGTGCACGCACGTCTCGACGATGGTCCCCAGGAACATGAATCTCAGCAGCTCAGAGACCTGCGGGTTCTCGAGCAGGCGCTTGAAGACGAGCAGGATGGCGCGGATGAACTGATTCCATGAGCGCCCGGACTGCGATTGCACGCGGCCCATAGCTCGTGCGAGCGCGCGACCGGGTGACATTGAGTGGCAAACAAGGGGTGGGTAAGGAAGGTTGATGAGTGAAGGAGCGAGCCAACGAGGCTTACCGTATTATACCGATCGACTGCGGCGTGACAAGCTGTTACTGGGACGTGAGCCTCCTAAGAGATGGATGGTTGCTCGAGTCAGGGTGACTTGCGAAAGGCAAGATTGGAGTCAAAAGGACGCTGCATGATGCGCCCAAAGACACTGCCACTGGCAAGCTCCCAAGACATTGATGGATGGCGGTACATGCCGACAATACGCTGCTCTGAGCCGCCAACACCCTCCATGCCTTCTGGAGTTTCCCCGTCTACATTTTCCTGGAGAGGCAAACAGTGAGTCCGTGGCATCACTGTCACGCACTGCTCCTGTGCTACTTGACTCCCGTGCATCACAGGTTCTCTAATGTTTGCTGCGAACAAGTCTCAGGATGTCAGACAGACAATACTCGATGATGGCGCATGACTTTCCAGCATTCTCACGAACATCGTCAGCAAAGGGCTTCTCCGCATGGCGAAGAGGTCTCCCATGCCCAAGTATAACCGTTCTCAGACCGGCCCTCATGCTGGGCGAAAAGGCATTCATGCGCAGCTCTTCTAGATCAGGACCACTTTCATCTCAAAGAAATAATGACCGCCAAGTCTAGCCTAGTTGAATCGCCTCTTTGTGCCCCGGCCTCTGTCTTTGTGCAGTTATCGGAGTCGGTGCTCCCAGTTGCGAGCTGACAGCCTGATCCCGATGCCCACTGCTTCTCCATTTCTCCACTCGGCACTCAAACGCTATTTAAGTTTACAGCCGTCCCTCCGTTCTCCAATTTCACGCCATGGGGCTTCCTTCCTATCCTCTGAAAGTGGTCGGTCGTGGCACCACATCTGGCTGGACGCAGTCACTGAGCTTTTCCTAGCTGATTACCGGCGTGACAGGCTACATCGGGGGCACGCTCCTGCGTACGTTTCTACTCAGAGAGGACTACAAGGCCGGGCTGGTCGAGATCACCTGCCTCGTCCGCGACGAGGACCGGGCAGAGGTTATTCGCCGGGAGCTCCGCCTGAGAGTCGTAGTTGCCGATCTCGCGGAGCTCAATCTGATTAGAAGCGCCGCTGAGAACGCAGATGGTCCGTGCCCGGTTGCTTTCTGTGCCGCTGATTCTGAGTGACTTGCCGTTAGTGGTCATTCACACGGCTCATGCCGATCACCCCACGGGATGCCGCGCCATTTTGGACGGTCTCCGAGCTCGATATGAGAGGACGGGGATCCAGAGCGTCCTGATCCACGTTCGTCCTCGAATTTCCCAATTTCCCTTTCCCGGACTTGATTGCATCTGGTAGAGCTCAGGAACCGGCGCCTTGACAGACGATGCCTACGGCGCTTTTGCTAGCGAGAAAATGTCGTCTGCGTCCATGAAATCCGGTTCTGGAGAGTGCTCTAACCCGCTGTGTCCAGATATGAAGACCTAGACTGCAGCGACATCCGCGCCATCCCAACCACTTACGTCCATCGAGAGAGCGATGCGATGATCAGCGAAGCCAGCGAGGCAGGCTACGTCCGTGGCTACGTCGTCATGCCCCCTCTCATCTGCAGGTCTCATCATTCTCGCCCCAATCCAAGCGGCTAATGATACAAACCAACCACCAGACGGACGGGGGACCGGGCCGTTCAGCCGCACCTCCGTCCAGGTTCCTGCGCTTATCCGTGCCGCGCTCAAACTCGGGCAATCGGTATATGTCGGCCGCGGCCTGTCGCTGTGGAACGGCGTGCACGTGCAGGATCTCGTCGACCTCTACCTTGTCCTCCTCGACGACGCGGTCGCTGCAGGCAGGCAGCCCAAGGCCGTGAGCGGCAAGGAGTGTTTTTGTGAGTCGCGAGTCGCGTGACGACCCACTCACTAGTGGCGGTTTCGTTTCGTTCCGGGTCGTTCATGGCCGGACGCTTGTACAGCGATTAATAGCCTGATATTAACGGCCTTGGCAGATTTCTGTGCTACCGACACCTATTCCTGGAAGCAGCTGGCCGACGAGATCGGCCGTCGGCTTTTCGCGCGGGGGGCGATCTCGAGTCCAACTCCGCGGTCCTTGACGCCGGACGAGGAGCTCGAAACCTTGGGCGCTTGGAGCCGTTTTGCCTATGGTTCGAATTGTGAGTCTCATGTTTTGATAGAGACAACGACATTCGGTTTTTGACCGACGGTCAGCGCGTTCGAAAGCCGGCAAAGCGTATGCGCTGGGATGGAGCCCGAAACATTCCGACCACAGCGCAGGCCTGTTTGACTCCATCGACGCCGAGTACGATGCGGTCATCGATGAAGGCAGAGACGAGCGGCCGAAAGTGCATATCGACGAGATGAACAGAGCAGTAGGGGAGGGGTCCAACGGCGCACCGCCCGCCGTGCCCGGCCGATTCTGGCTGGTTGAGCGGATTATCACGGCGCTCCGCAGTCTGTTCGCGTAGACGGAATGAACATGCGCGTCGACGATTCATGCTTGAGCCGCGCCAGCCCAGTCCTCTGAATCCGTCTGGTGATCGCAAGAGGTTTTAGAGAGCGCCGGGATACACTCGCTGCATCGTCTAGTGGCTTTGATTGGCCCAAAATAGAGCCCAGGAACCAGATTAAAGCCTCAAAGGGGAATGCAAACGCTATTCTTGGTGTTCTGGTGGGAATAGAAGTAGGTGGAGATTCTGCAGCTCGTCCGGTCAACATCCGTTCCAATTCAGAGTCTCCGATCATTGGAAGCCATGTGTCGACGGTCGCCAGGCGCGTGGAAAAGGAAAGTTTTCTGCCATCGCGGACAGATGAATCGATAATGCATCAGAATGCTGGCGTGTCTGCTCGCTATGAATCGTTCATTACCGAGTTCCGCAGAGTTGTTCGCAGGTTAGAAACAGACATCGTGGGAGCGTCTTATATCAGCCTGTCAACTCTCTGACTCAGATCTGTACCACGACTGCAATCTGCCACCTAACTGGCTTTGGCTCACGCGTTAGGGACATGCAAGAGGGGGTCTAGAACGTGATCCACTGCAATTACTCCCCATTCTCACTAATGAGCCAGCAACCAAGGCCTCTCGAGCCAGGATCATCCTTCTCGCGGGCTTCGTCTGTGCTTAGCGGATGCTTCAAGCCTAGCCTTCAGTCTTGCCTCACAGCGATCAATCGACGATTAACTTCGGGTCGAGGGAGAGGCGGGACCCTGAGAGCACCCCTTCGAGGCGCAGGCGCTTCTGCACTAGCGGCCCGGGATGGGAATGCTCGATTACGCATCTGGCCCTGTCTTCCGCCGCCCGTGTCGTCACACGCCGCTGATAGAGTCTGGTGCATGCTCGCAGCGGGTCGCTATATATCCCTAAAAGAGCGGTTAATGACGATAGCTCGTGGTAGGTAAACCTTGTATGGATCGTACGAGATGCGCTGCGAAGATCCATCATCATTTCCTCTCCAGCGCCCTTCGCGGCGCAGACGGGCCTGGGATTCTGGGTTGGATTAATTGCGGATGCGTATATAGATGGGGCACGAGACGGGTGATAAGACCTGCTCGAACCGAGGGACGAGCCAGCACAGCACAGCACAACACGCGCGTGAGTCGTCCGCCGCTCTTCTTCTTCTTCTGCATGACATCCTCCTCATCTACTGCGCCCCCAGACTCTCCTTCTGTCTCTCCATGCCGCCCTCACATGTAGCGTCGCTTTCCTTGCGCTCCCGAGACTCCGCAAACGAATGACAGCGCTTTTCTTAGCTCACCACCCGTGGCCTGGCGCTCAATCACATCCCGGCTGTAGTCGTCATCGTGCTCGCGTCCGTGCTCGCCTCGATCGTGGCGGTTCTGTTTGTGTACATCATCATCAAGATCTGCTGTCGGACCCGCCCGTCGGCCGAGAGCAGGGAGCAGGCGCAGCAGAGGGAGCCCGACGGGGAAGCCGTGGTGTCGATCCTCAACAAAGAGGGTGGCGGGGGAAACCCGTCGTCCTTCGACCTGAAAAGGGAAGACTCGACGTCTACCAACCTGCACACGCGAACCAATCCTCCTCCTGCACCCGAGCGCCCCGTCTCCCCCTCGCGACGCCGGGGCGGGTACCACGTCCCTTTGCTGAACCCGTCCTTCCTCTTCCCGGCGCGGGCCTCGAACTCCGGCTCGGTCTTCCGGGAAGAGGGCATCTGGCCTCCGCCGCGCCAGGAAAGCCTATTCGTCGATCCGCTCTCGCATCCGCTCCCCGAGGAGTTCACGCAGCTCGTGTCGACCATCATGGGCGCGGTCGACACGGACAACCTGCGGCTCCGCATGGACTCGACGTTCTCCGGATCCTCCTCGACGGCCACCGTCACGTCCGGCCCGCACGCGCCGGCCACGCCCTCGCCGAGCATCGCAGCGGTGGCAGCGCCGGCGGGTGTTACGCGCACGCCGTCGCGGCGCAGTAGCTCGCTGTCCCGCGGTGCGCGCACCCACGCGCCGCGGCGGCTGCGCCTGTCCGCGTCGACGCCGAGCCTGCTCGTGTCGGAGGAGACGGACCCGCACTGGCCGCCGACGCCGGGGCCCAGCGTGTCGGATCCGCCGCCGCCGGCCGTCGTCGTCGGGATCGTCTCGCCGGGGTGGCCCGTGCGGCCGCCGACGCCGGGGCCGAGCCCGCTGAAAGGCGCGCTGGCGGTGGCGGGGCCCAAGCGGCCGGCGACGAGCGACGGGAGCAAAGCTGTGGCGAACTGGCTGGAACGCACGCCGAAGCGGCCGGGGACGTCGCCCGGGCTGAGTAGCTCATTCTGAAGTGTTGTTGTCCCAGACGAGACGGAATAGATTCGACGATGATGATGATGATGATGGGGGGAGCGTCTTTGACTCCGGCCTATGTCCGCATAATGCTACAGTGGCGTGGCGTGTGTCTAGGTATGTCTAACGGGTGAGGGCTATATGCTACGACTAGGGATATATGAGGTGTGTAAAATGATATTAGTTGCCGGCGTTCTGTCCCAGCGATGAGAATCGATCAGACGGTGGATTTCTCCCCCTTCGCGGCAGCCTCCTCCTCCCTCATGGCGCGGGCGATCTTCAGGTCCAGGCACGGCGCGAACTTGGACTTTTCGCGGATGCGCGCGCCGTACTTGTAGAACAGGAACGGCGACGGCATCAGCAGCAGGCCGACCCCGCCGAGCAGCGTCGACGCCCAGTGGACACCCAGTTTGTTGAACATCTGCACGGTGAACAGCGGGAACACGGCCGCGACGAGCGAGCGCATGAAGGTGTTGGCCGCGAACGCAGACGCCGCATACATCCTGGCCGCACAGACGCAGTCAGCATG